AATTGAAAATAGCATCTTCTTAGATAACAAATTCCGCCAACGCCAAGCTAATGAAGTTTTTGGGCTGAAATTTTTACCACTTATTAAGGGTGCAAAAAGCTTAAAAAATCCTGAATTACGTGTGTCTGCGATGAAAATTGCATTAATTATTAGCAATTGAAAAAAGCGGACAATTTCGACCATTTTTGAGCATTCTTGCGCATAAACCAATTATCGGAATTTAATCGGACTTGTCTTATTTTACAGATTTATTTAATACCTACCTTTTTTGTATAAACCTTTTTTTCTCTACGAATAACAGTTTTTTTACGCCAGTCCAAAAACTACTTTTCCATAATTTTGACCATTGTTTTAACAAAGTTTCCCAACAAGTCTCGAGTTGATTTTTTGATATTTTGTTTATAACACTTTTCTGAACAATATTCCGCAGAGAAACTTCTAATAGTATTTTTTTCCCGAAAAATGATTGGCCTATATTATAGACAGAAACATTGAGGATAATTTAAATTTATGTTTCAATGCAACAGGGATTTTACCAATATCTGGGGATTTAATACAAAATTTGGAAAGTTAAAAGACATGATGCCAAAAAAAAAATTATAAAAATGGAACTTTGCGCTATTGCAATCATTTTTAAAAATTGTGATATTTCTAGGTTGATCTATAAACTTTTCTAGTTTGCCAAAATATAAACTCCATTTTTTAATCATTACTATTTCGTAAATTTTTTGTCCATATCTATAACGTCCATATTTAACAAAGTATAATTATTTAAAAAATTATTTAGGTGTCACCCTAAAATTTGCATAAAATAGGGCAACATTTCTTTTTGACTTTAGAAAATACTGTTGCCTCTAATAATTTTGGTGTGTCTGATAATCATACAAGGACAATCTAGATATAGGTAGATTTTTGGTATAAGAGAAAATGACATTATTGTAATCAGTTAAAATTAGAAGAATATTACATTTCTCGACAAATAGGTGAAATTTTTAGTTTTAGTTATACTGTGTTTATAACGATACAGATTTACCTGAAACTTCATTTTGTAGTCTGACTGAAAAAAATTTCGAAACTTTCCAATGTAATTTTGTGTGTTATTTTTACTGGCGTAGTTTTTTTTAATCAACACTTTCGAGAAAATATTTTTTTTGGGTGCTATATCGAATTTTTCGAAAGCAATAGAATAATTCATATCTGTATAATTCCCAAATGAACTCTCTTGCGCAGAAAATACGGTCGGAAATGCTTCTTTGTGAAAACTATTATGTAATGTATTGTCTGAATCGTTAAAAAACATTTAATGTTTAAAATGTATTGCATATACAGGGTGTAAGGAGTTTGACTGCCATTACTTCAGCATGACATCATAAATGAACAAAAAAGTTGTATATTACAGAGGGGTAAGATTAACAGTTTTCAAAATACAGCGAGAATTAATATTGGGGAGTTTCATCACAACGTGACAATAGCGCTTAACTTAACGCTACACAGCTGATACAGACCACGTGTGCACGCGGTAGACTGTAGGCAGCTATTATTGTGAAACATTTAGTAAATTTCAAGACAATTGTTTTCCAGTTTAAAATAAATTAAATAAAATGTATTGATTTTGTAGGACGAAGATAGTGTTGTGCTTAAATTTTAGCTAGAATTTTAGTAATCATGAATCTCTTAAAATAAAAACTTAACTTTTAATCAAATTATGAATTTGAAAAATGGTCATGTCGAGATAACAAAAGAACCGTTTTGAAGTTTTAAGACTCTAGTTTAAAGATTTGACAAAAATTTTTTTTGAGCTATGATTATCGAGGAATCAAAATAAATACCTCGAAAAAAAAATTTTTTTTTTGGACTGTCCACCGACTTCGAAATCAATCAATGTAAAGGTCAGTTAGCTTGTTGAGATATCGATGATTGAATGAAAAAAACACTCTTATCTTTAAACATTGATATCTCATGCTCAGCAACAAATTATTGCACAGTAAATCCAAGAGCGGTTTTGAAAACTCGAATAAATCCTCTGCAAGGGCCTATTATGGTTTTCGAAGAAAACATTTTTTTTCGTCCTTGACATCAATTTGAAAAAAGTGCAAAAAAAATTAGTTTTTACTGTTTTTTTAGAAAATCTGCCGCTAATTCACAAATATTAATGAAAAACGTGAGAAATCTTTACTGAATGTCCCTGTAGAATGACAAGTTGTTCCAGTCAACCGTTTTTCTGTTCTCCAATTGATCAAAGTTTTGGGGAGAATTAAAGATACACGTTTATTGCGCCTAAACATTACGCAATTAAATTTATTCCAGTAGTGTAGGTACCTAGATCACGGATGTATTTATGTTTTTTTAGAGAATCCATAGAATTATTATTATTATACACCCTGTACAATTAAAACCAGCTAGCATAATGGCAGTTAACGCCAAGCGACCGTACTTCAGGATTCATCCACACTTGCCCATAAAAGACGCCCAAGTAAACAACTAAACATAATGGTTTAATTGCATAAATCATAAAACGACTATTTTTACTCCCTACCGGTTGGATTATGCAGATGCAGATATCTTACACGCCGTCGCCGTAGTAAAAAGATATGTTTACTACGCTCTGGCATCAAATCCGTGACGATAAAATCATGCTTCTGCAAGGTCAGATTCGTTAATTCCGTTTTAATGTTGACCAGCGTCCCCCAAAACGGTTCGACTGATTAATGAATCGTAACTGGGCAATTCGCCGTTGGCCAAACAATTTTTTAAGAACCGGAGATGGACTTCAACAAACATAACTGTGCCTTCAAGGAGTGAATATATTGCTAGGAGTGTTAATTACTCCGTACTTTTTAACAAATGTGATTTTAACTTGAAAATTCAAATTAAAACGCGTAACTGAATCTTTTAAACTAGCCAAAATAAATTATTTGCGAAAGTTCTGTTTTTTAAATATTGGGCGCCGAATACGACTTTTTTTTAAATGGAATTTTGGCGACATATTTTCTAGAAAACAACGTAATGCACCCAAACTTTCGTACAAGACTTTTTGAGGGTGCTACTGCTAATTAATTCAGCATTATTAGTTTTTGATTATCTGTTAGAGGTCACTAGTTACGACTTTACATTTTATGACAGCTGACAGCTTTTTTGAGGTTAAGTTTTTTTAAGGTGATTGAGGTATATTATCTAGTAAAATTTCATTTTACATAAAAAAATAAAGATACAGTTGTTGAAATCGCACCGATTTTGAGTAAAACGCAACTGACTTGTCTCCGTAATATGCAGATGTATATTTTTTTCTTGATAAACAATTTCAAATTGTTTTAAAACATTTATATTCCTGTTAAATTTATAACGTCACATATGAAATTGGTTGCTTCTGTTTTAAGACGCTCTTAAGGGCCTCTCCGCTATAAATTATTAAATTTAAGATATTATATTCCATCAGATATATTTTTTTGTATGTTGTATTTTAGTGACTCATCGACATTATTATTCTCCGAGTTCTAAGAACTAATAACTGAATTTAATAATACATACACCAGAATATCGGATTACACAGATTATCTTGACCAAATTTAATTTAATAGGTATTTATTTATCAGTAAGCCTTATTTTCGAGTAGGTAAGGTACCCATATTGCAGCCCATAATTATCATTACTTTTATAAAAGTCCAGAAATACAACAGTCACTTTACTTATCTTCAGTGTCAGATTTACGATAATTTTGAAAAATGTGGCAACACGAAACGACTCCCTAATTGCAAAGTTCCAATTCTCTAGGGACTCGTAGGGCTTAAAATATTTAATTAGAACTTTTTCGAGACGTACAACAAAAAACATTTATTAAATAAAATTTGTCCAAAGAACTACTTTTGAGTTAGGTAGGTACTTCTAATTTAAAATATGCCCCTTTTGCCGAACCGCAGAAAGGCCATCTTCCCCTGCATTTTAAATTATAGCGTATGAAAATCTTCGTAAAAGTGAGCTAAAAATAGTCAGCAAACTGGAATAAGGCTTCCTCATTCTTGAACCTCAAATAACACAACTCGTTCTTTCGGTTTTCAGTCTAAAAAATATTCTGTCACTGAAAAATGAAAATGCAACATCTGGAGAATAAGTTTGACGTTTTAATGATTCATTTTGAGTAGACACACCCTGTAGTGATCTGAAAAAATACTAATATCGGAAGGTTTTAATTGTTTATGCTCAATTCCATTTTCATTACAAATACAAGTCAAAAAGAACTGAATAAAAAATCAATTAATTTGCTAAAAATAGGAGCATTTTAATTACTTTTGCGCAAACAAAATCTGCATGTAAAAATCAATAATCAATGTATTATTACGATAAGGTCGGTTCCAAACGCCAGCGAATGTTAATTTTTCTAAGCGGCTAGCTGGCGATACGGGCTGCCGAGCAGATGTTCCATTTACATTTAGTAAATACACACTACCTAGTGAATAACAGTGAACCCTATCCCACACGCAGGAGACCGTGAAACCTTACAAAATTCATGCCAACAAAGCACAAATACAATAGAATTTTAGCAGTATTTCAACGAGATGAATTACATAAAAATATTGCGGCGTAGTTAAATTTTAACTTTCTACCGTCTAGCACAAACGATTTCCAACCTTTTGCTGAACGTAGAAGTTAGGAAAGTCGCATAAAGGGCGTAGCGGACTCCCCAAAGTTGAGGCATTTCCAGCGAGTTCCGTTAGGTTATCGACCTTGGACTAAAATGCTCGAAGTCTGGGAACCAAAGGCGTATCTATGGCGATGACGATCTCTAACGTGGTGGAGGGAAGTGGTGGTGGTTTCGGAAGAATGTGGGGATGAATATATCCTACCAGAATACACTATGAGCACCCCTTCCACAAAACTCTACATCACAGCGACGAAGCTCCCTACCCTAAAACACCCGCGACCCGCGAAAAGATTCGTGAAATCATCTGGAGTAGATGTGTGACGCCCTTTACGCGATTTTCTATTAAGAAAATGACACTTACCTTTAGTGGGACAACGTCCACAGCCTCGAAGAGTCTTCAAGAAGCACAAGCACTACTTCGTCATCAAACGAGTTCATGCAGTTATGTCGAGCTGAGCTAGATCTGTGGCTTGCCAAGAACTTTGCGTCCACATATTCATAGATGGCATGTTGTGTACAGTTAAGGTTTGAATTTGCGCGCCAATGTATCAGACACTTTCTCCAGCATTCCCAAAAAAAAAAGAAGTTTTTTTGTAATGTTTGTTTCTCAAAAATTGTTCCTTTTAAATCCTAAACTTAGAAGCTGATTATGTAGGCGTATAAAGGAACACTGTGGCCTTAAAATAAAAAAAGGTACAGTGTGGCCCAGCTTGTGAAATTCTAATCTTTAGCTTGCGGGCGGGGTTAGTTAACCACGCCTATCTATTAGGAAATCGAAGTTGCATTTGATGTAAAAATACATTTATAAAACGATTTTCATTATTCAAGAAACAATGTATATAATTGTAATATTAATAAATGCAATTGCTAGTCATGCATAAAAAAAATCCATTTTCAATATGAATTCATTCATGAACACCTTTCTCATTGGTGTATTGATTATGCAATATAACAGTTGTTTTTGCTTAATTTTTCGATTCATCTCGCTAGTTACACACTGATAGGTATTTGAAAACATTAATGAAACAATTTTTGTCAAATAGAAATGAGAAAAATTAAATTCCAAACAATTAAACTTTATTTTAAAACAAAGTAAAAAATTGTACTTATTCTTAGGATATACAAAAATGGAAATGTAATAGGAAATTTGTCTTTTACAAAAATTATGTCCCCACAAAAAATAATTTTACTTTCCTCGACCTTTATTAGATTATGATACATAAAATATTGATTCAATAGCTAAATCAAGGGTATATTTTGAGAAAAAACATATTTTACAAGTTTTCAGAAGGTTGGCTTAAAGAGGTACAGTTTATCGGCTACTTTCTAACTAAGTGTTTTCTAAATCGGTAATTATCATTACAAAGTTGTGGTTTTTATATTTAAAACGCCTAACATTAATTTTCCTCGGCACATGCTCTAGTACAGAGTTGCCACCTCTGTAATAAAATACAAATTTGAATATTTTTCCTTAAATTAAAATTACTTTAATAGGTCTTACATTCATTATGCTTGGACACGTATAGCTTTCAATAAAAAACGTTTCTACCATAATTTGTTACAATCATCTTTACCTACATCTATTTTTGTTGGAAATTTAAATGCATACCCATTCAAGCACACAAAGTAAAAAGCATACATTCGCTTCCATAAAAAGAAGTGCCATAGCTACAAACGTATATAATCAGTTGTAAGAACTAAAAGTAAAAAATAAATACAACTTATAAATAGAGTAAAAGTAAAATAATTTATAATTATCATAGATGTATAATATATTGAAATGAAAGTTCTTCCAAAAATATCCTTTGAACTATCAACCTGGAATTAGTTCTCGTCGGAAAGAAACTATTTTTCACTTAGTAAGTGGCAGTCCCATTTCATTCGATACTAAATATCTTAAATTTGATGGCAGCCTCTGTGGACTCTCTGCACGTACATTTCGAACAGCAACTTGTTTATATTAAAGTAGTGAGGGTTCTGGTTTTCGTTTAAATCCGGGGAATATTCCAATGGAATTTGGGACATGTTCCAATCGAGACTCTGTTCCGAGGTAGGGGGCGACTCCGGTAATTGATTGAGGTAGTTCGGGGGGCCAGGACCCCATTCTACGGAATTTATCGATGTGGCCCTTTCATTGGAATTCTCCAAGAGCATAGTGTTGTTTATATGAAGGTTATTTATCCTTTTTGACAACGGCACGAACTCCACTTCTACCTCATCTTCTTGGAGACTCCTTCTACGTTTTCTGAAAAAAAATTTGTACATCTGTCAATGTTCCCAGGATGTAATTATTTGCTAGTCACACTGCACAGTATCTACTTAAAACGAATAATCACTCACCTATTTTGTGTCATGGTTGGAATTTTTAGGAAATCTGCACAGCCTGTAAACTTCAAATGATTATACAAATGCTTGTCTGAACTTAACGATATTTTATTTGACAAATAAACATGACCGACCCCATCCAACAGGAATTTTTAAAGCCCCTAGTTACTTTTCACTCTTCTGCTGAGAATGTTGGTCGCCTTGGATAAATTTTTAAATCAAATTTTCACTGTATCGAATTTGCACTGATGTTCCGATAAGTAAAGAATTATCTTCCCAAAAGAATTTATTATTAAAATTAGCTTTGTATTTTAAGCAAGTACCTACATATTTGTTCAATTTATACTTTATGAGTATATTCAATTGTTCAAATTGGGTATCAGATATTGTTCCGTATGCGTATTCCTCCAATGAAAATTCGACGTATGAATGACCGGTTATCGATAAAACTCCAATTTTGGCGAACATATTATCCGAACCAAAATCTTACAATGTGCTATCACCGAATGATATCATTTCTGTACTTATAGCCCTATTTCAGAAATGAAACTATAGTTTAGCTAAAAGTATGAGGTTATAATTTTCACTTCATAAATGTTTGTTTCAATTTATTGAATTCCTATGTCATCACAGTAACGAATCCAATGTTTTTGGATATTAGGAAAACCAAAAATGTTAATATAGCCATTCTTTTAATGTTAAATATAGCCGGTTACGGTGAGTTGGAGAAAATTGGGTTGACAACAATTGGGATTTTCGATATAAGGGATGCTTTGATTGCTTTGTGCTCGATTTCTGCTTTGGGAACGATGCATAAATACTTGACAGTGTCCCAAAAAAAACGTGCGTTCATGAAAAATTAACAACAAATTAACTCGTAGTGTTCACTTCGCTCACGTGGCCTGACTTTAGTTAATTGAATTAACAATTTTTTGCAATTAACCCTAGTTCACAGTGCCGACGAGGAAATGGCGCTTAAGTTTTGGATTGTAGAGGTTTACCAGTTGAATGACGAGCACCAAGCAACTCCGAAATATAACAGGAAAGTAAAATTGAGAACGGACTACGACCCGCAGGGCATTAGCGTCAGGTTTTTAGATTTCGATGAAACAAATCAGCTGTTAGAATTCCCAGTAGATTCAAGTACAGAGTGTTGTAGAGTAGGATCCTCGTCATATTTATTTACTATAGACAACGAGACCCTCCTAGTTAAGTTTAATAATAGAGATGAAGCTAGAACTTTCACAGTAGCAATAACTAAAGTTAAGTCCGGTAGAGATGCCTCAGTATTCTCGGTACGAACTGAAGACTCCTCAGCCACTCAGTATTTCCAGTTTTACGGTTACCTCTCCCAGCAGCAAAACATGTTGCAAGACTTTGTTAGGACTTACACGTATCAGAGAGCAATATTATGTAACCTAGATGACTTTAAGGACAAAGTGGTATTAGATGTAGGTGCCGGTTCAGGAATTTTGTCGTTCTTTGCAGCTCAGGCGGGAGCAAAGCGTATCTATGCAGTGGAAGCCTCGACAATGGCGCATTACGCACAGAAACTAGTTGAAGCGAATAACTTATCCAGCTCAATTAAAGTGATACCCGGTAAAATAGAGGAAATAGACATACCCGAGAAAGTAGATGTTATAATATCTGAACCGATGGGTTACATGCTCTACAACGAGCGAATGTTGGAATCATACTTGAACGCTAAGAGGTGGTTAGCCCCCGGAGGAAAGATGTACCCCTCTAGAGGTGATTTACATATAGCGCCGTTCACAGACGACGCCCTCTACATGGAACAATACAGCAAAGCGAATTTCTGGTTTCAGACTTGTTTCCACGGCGTAAACCTCTCGGCGCTTCAAAACTGTGCCGTTAAAGAATACTTCCGGCAACCCATAGTAGACACGTTCGATGTAAGGATATGTATGAGCAAATCGATAAGGCACGTAGTTGATTTCTTGGATGCCGACGAGACGGATCTCCACACGATAGACATACCTTTAGAATTTCACATTCTAGAGTCGGGTACTTGTCACGGGTTAGCGTTCTGGTTTGACGTAGCCTTTGCCGGTTCGCAGAACACGATCTGGTTGAGTACGGCTCCGACAGAACCTTTGACACATTGGTATCAGGTGAGGTGTTTGCTAGAGCAGCCTCTTCTGCTCAAGCAAGGGCAAGTGTTGACTGGTAGAGTTATACTGATCGCTAATAAGAGGCAGAGCTACGATGTTACTATTGAACTGACAGTGGAGGGCACGTCGCAAACGTCTAAGAATACTCTGGATTTGAAAAATCCATATTTTAGGTATACAGGAGCACCAGTTCAACCTCCTCCAGGTAGGTTCTATCACAACTTTTCTTTAAATTCTGTTCAAAACGTGTTTTTTATAAGTAGGTGGTTGCCATTTTGGTGTAAAACAAAAAAGAACTTTTATGTTTCAAGAAAATTTAAATCCACTATCATTAGAGACAAAAACATATTTTAAAAATCAAAAACTTTATAGAAGTGACGGGTAAATTGATGAGGTTGGCTACTGGCACCTCCAAAATTATTTAGTTGTCATTAATCTTTAATTATATTTTTATTATTTTATTTTTGCAGGATTTTAAATTTTCTTTTAAATCTTGTTTAAATCTAAAATAATTTCAAATTCAGCAAATAAGTCGAAAATGTTGTCAGTTCAATTCAGCAGTGAATTTGCAACAAATTCCAAAAAGAGCGTATATTACTGATGAAATTAATAATTTTTAACTTATTGCATTCTTACACTTACTTAATATGCACCGAGTATATCTTCGTCCTCTCAACTCTAATAATAAAGGAAGAAAATATTGTAAGCTATTTTGTTTTAATGAAAATTTCGTTTTTCAAAAATTATGTACCACTTCGATACTTTTTTTTTTTTTTGAGCTGAAGTGGTGGTGGATTTGTGGTATTCTCTCAATACAGAGATCCTACCCATGACTATATTTAACGAATGTGACATGTTTAGTATAATTTTTTAGTGATAAAAGACACTTCAAAAGAATAGTTTGTTATGATTGTATTTATTTAAATTCAAGACTATTTTAAAAAAAGTTACATGCTTATTATGATTTTTTAGTAATAATAATAAAATGTTACTCGTGTATATGCACAATAATTATGACTAATTTAAAATGTAATTGATGGATATAAACGTAATTTTCACTAAGTGACATGCACATAAATTTAGTTGAACTTTTACATCGTTATTTAAGGTATAATTATAAATACATTATCTGTATTTTTACGTCATGGTTAAAACGAAAAAATGTAAACAATTTCTCAAAAACACATGTAGAAAACAATGAATAACATGAATTTTGAATTAAAATAGATTATCTCTGAGTAGCAGTTACATTTGTTAAAATAAGTCTAATTAAAATAAGCTAGATAAGTGAAAAAATTATGTATGACGTGTAATTTTGTAGGTGTTTCTAACGTTTCTCCCAGTGAGAGCTACTGGAGCCAGTTGGACGCGCAGGGAGTCCGAAATGCCGTCAATATGGTGAACGGTATGTCGGTAAACGGTTTGGGAGAAGTTTCGATGGACACAACGCAGACTTTGATAAATAATAATTTAATGGCCAGTAATCTCATCGCCTTAGTAGATCCGCAGCATATGGCAGGTAAGAACTGCGGTAGGAATCATAAACTTATCAGTACGGTTTCATTGTAGCTTCGCAAACAGAAAGCAGTAAAAAAAATTGTTCAACGTAATATTTTTTGTGTGTTCATGCTGTGTGGGTATAGCAAACATTTGTGATAGGCAGCGACAATTTTTTTATCTGTGTACATATTTTTTTTCTATGACTAAGCACATATTTAATTAAAGTCGAGTTCTTTTCACACGTACATAAATTATTCATATCAAATATTTATTAATTATTTGTATCCTATTTTGTCACGTTCTATTTTTAGACGTACAATTTTTTTAATGTCACCCTATTATTTTACATCTCATTATATTTCTTTATCGTCATCGTAAGCCTAGCAATAATTTATTTAATACCCATTTCAAAATCTTAAATGAGTTCTTTAGATAAAAAAATCATATTCGTTTTTAATCAGCAATAAAAATGTTTGATACTATTTTTATATACAGCTACCAAATCGCTCGTCTAAATTTTAATGGTGGATTGTACGTCACATAAACATGTTTGGAAATGTATTATTTTCTCGATACACGATATTCAATATTAATGAAACTTGGTTTATTTTAAGTTACAAAAAGTGCGTAGTTGAGGAGAATCGTGTGAACAATATTTTATTTTATTTATGCATAACAGAATTACTTGAATTGTTATTATTATTATTCGACAAATGATGCATCCTAGCGACACACATTCAACATGCGACTAAATGAGTCCCGTGCTCTTACCTCCGAACTTTTCGATTTCGATTTTTTAAGCATATTTCACACTGGGGGAGGGGGGTTATGACCACATTTTTATAAAAAAAAATTGTTCATTTAATTTCTGGATATTTTTGTACTATCAAATAATTCATTGCACTTTAGTAGCAACTTACCACCCAAAACTTATCCCTCTCCTTCAAAGCAGTTAAAAGTTATTGGTAAAAACACATTTATTTAAAGTCATCTTCAAACGCGTCTACCTCCCTTAGGGTGGATTTGTGGACCCATGTTTATATTAAATTTTTGTCTTACTTTGAGTCGACAGATCTACCCTCAAAGTGAAGTACCACTATTTCCGAACACCCGGTATATGCCTGATAATAAGCGCTCCTTGTTTTAAGGGATGAAAACCACCGCTTATGCTGAAAAAAACTGAATAAATTTAAAAATAGGTGTTATTTAGACTAAAATCATATCATAATATATAGAATAAATATTGTTTTATATTGTGGGGTATAATTTACAATATTTTTATAAACTTTCAACCTTTTTAAACCACCCTTATTGATAAAAATATAAAATTAATAGTTGCTTTGACCTTAAAATATTTTTATAGCGCATATATTATAAATAGATATCTTTTCAATAGTTAATAATTTATTACAGTATTTCAACCCTTAAAAAACTACCCCTAATAACAAATTATCAAAAAAATTGTTTTTAACAGTTTGAAACGATTTGATAGTGCAAACTGGATAAATAAAATTCTTTTACCTGCCTATAATACAAATTTATCGCATTGTTTTAAACCTTAAAAACCACCACCAATGACAAAATATAAAAAAAATGGCTTTTAAATTATTTAAAATTAATTCTAATCCCCTCGTATAGTGTTTATCATATCACTGGGTTTCTTAAAAATTACTCTTTATTATACAAATAAAAACAATTTTGTACATTTAAAGTTGATAAGTAGAATTATTAAAAGATTAAAGGGAAAATGTGAAGATATTCTATATAGAATGCTCCAAACATGTGGGTAACCAAATTTTGATATACTCCGAAAATTGAAGCGGTAAGGTACCGTTGGTTTTTTAACGATAACTTCGTTAATTTTAAAGCTATTAAGACAATCCAAAAACGATTTTACGGAAAAGTTCGATAGCTAAAAGTACTGTAAAATTGAATATTTTTAACGCGTTATTTTTGAAATTTTTGGGGTTAAAGGGTTTGAAAAACGTCATCTTCGACCTCAACTGTAAACTTCTAGCAGCGACATCTCTGTTAATTTTTATCCTACACAAATAAAAAAAACTAAATATTCTGTGAAAAAAAATCGAAACTTTTGTACTCTTGAATATTTTTCGTATCTTTTTTATTTTTAAAGTTTTCAAAAATATTATTTTTTTTGGAACTAAAAATATTTTTTTTCAATCAAAACGTAATATTTTAAAAAATATGCATTCTAAACTGCTTAAAACTTGTATAATATATTGTTAGCACATAAAAAATGTAAATTGTAGAAGGTTAATTTTAAATTTTGTGAAAAATTAAAAGAATTTTTTTAGTTATTTTACGTTAAATGCTTCCAATTTAGTTTCTGGCAGACATGAAATTATCTTCAACCAGCCGTATCTCAGCACCTATTGCACCTACATAAATGAAAAAAATCTCAATAATTTTCTTTTTCTATAAGCTTCATTTTCTTCGTGATGTTTTTTTTTTTCATAGAATGCCTATTTTCCCAGTTATTCGGGAAAAACTACTGAAAAACGTCTTCTTTTAATAGAAATTGTACATTTTCAATCAGCAATAACTCGGAAAATATTGACTTATCGGAAAATGTTCATAAGATACATTTTGCTTAAAATTGATTGCTTGATCGATTCCTGGGGTTGTTTTCAATATTTTACTTTTCACCCCCAGAAGGGGTGGCATCCATCCCCTGGGCAAAAGCCCTCATCGGCACTATATAACTTTGTTTCTTGAGGTATTTTCTACTTAAATTATAAATATTTTTTGAACTTTAACACCCCATTTCTTAAAACAAAAGGATTTCCATGTGTTTATAGAAACTCTTGATTAAACACGGGTGAGATATAACCTCTAAATTACCTGCCACTATAAATGTCATTGTTATTCAATGCCTACTGGCACAAAACATTGCTTTGTACCTACTACTCTTTGTGACGTAGAATCCACCTCGTATAAAATACATACAAATCACATTTCAAGTAGTTTCAACCTGGTAGATTAATGACGAATTTCTTCCGTCAGAATCAGCGCAGCCCAACATTCACCCTGGCTGCATATCGAGCACGGGCAGGGGCAGGGTAGCGGCCAGCCCTACATCGACGCACACCGCGCAGCTTATCGGGGGTGCGATATCCCCGTCGCTGTTCACCTCGCCCAGCCATCACCAGCAGCAACCCTTAGTCATGGCCAACTACCCCGTCAGCGCCAACTTAATGATCGGCGATTACATGAAACCGGGCAACGGGGTGGCGATGCCCGCCGTCTACCGCCAGTAGTGTAGTTATTTATTTTCAGTGTGGATGGTGTGTGACAGACGTGCGTGTGTTTTCTTGGACGAGGCCAGTTTTAGCTCGCGGTTTCAACCCGTTCGGGTAACATTTCGAGACTACATAGTTGATTTTACGAGATTCAGTGGATTTTATGGTTTTAAGAGCAATTTTTACAACACGCTGGAGGCAAATACGTTATTTGTCCTACGTTACGAGTTAATCTCTACATTTCTTTAGTTTTCATGAAAATATTTTACATACAAATGTGTATCTAATTTTAGAAATTTTTATATACTTTAAAAATTCAGTGATTTTAAAACGTTTTAGGAATAGCTATGCAAATGAAATCGTTTAATTGTTTTAATCTCGTCCAGGAAAAAAGCGGTCGTCTTTATTATTTTCATAACGTTAGCGAGCTCAAGAACTTTAAAAGAAAGATCTGCTGTAGCGGCAACTAATGCGTATATTTTTAATTCTTAATTTTTAGAATTATTTATGATGTTTTATGAATGTGATTTTTTAAATGGATTCCTCAAGGTTGGGGCGGTATCGTCGACATAACGTACGGATAAATATTTTATATTCCTGAGCTCTTTAGAAGCTTGACGGGTCAAAATCTAGGTGCCGTTTTTTCAGCGCATTACATTTTAAGACTGATCTGCCATCGCTATCTTGTTTGCCAAAAGATATGGGTGTGGCAGGATTATATTTGTAAAACCTTGCTTTTTATTACGTCCTTAGTACACGTAGGTATTCAGATTTCTTTCTCGTCTGAAATTTTGTCTTCGGCTGCGTTTACCCTCCCAAATCTGGAGAGTCGGACGGCTATTCTATAGGACCAAGCCTTACGTTACGAACATTTTTGAGGAAACGTTTTTATTGGGATTTTTTTTAGATGTGTATATGTCTTTTAATTTTGTCTAGTTTATATCATAGGCATGTATAACCGTGTATGTAGACTGCAAATAGATAAATGTTTTTACTGTTTAAAGGCCTTCGCTTAAAGACTGCTCTTGTAATAGTAATAATAATATAACTGCGTCTATAATGAGGCATTGTGGTATCTTTGACCGTCAGACTTCCAAAGAGGCTTGTGCCCATAGGCGTGTGCTCTTTTTTTATTTAGGCGACAGTTTTGCGTATGATTTTGTGATGTTTATTTGCGTGCGGTGATAACTTTACGAAGGCGTCTTTATTTTTTGGGATGTCGTATCCATGGCCTTAGCTTATTTGAATGCGGCAGGGATTCTTCATAATTTACGCCGTGGGCGACCTCAAACAATCGTATCAAATCTTCCGGAACGATTTTTTTAAGGCGAAACGCTGAAAATAACCCTCGAGCAAGGCTCCCGTCGATTTTTTTGAGTCGTCCGAAATATATACACGATTCGTAGTGTACATTTTATGATTAAAAAAACGCTTATTTTACTTTTTGTATTCATACTCGTAAGGGTTAGTTTTAATTTGTTCACATCACCAGCTGAGACTTTTATGTTATTTATGAAATTACTTTACAGCCGAAGTGTATTTATTGATTATTTTAGGAAATTCCTACTCGATATTATATGTTATACGACAGTCGCTTATGGTTTTTCTTTTTGTAATTGTAAGAAAACCTGACAATAGGAAATGATTTTGTTGTAATTTTTAATATTATGTAACTTGTATATTTTTTTGTTTGTGGTTTGTCTGAAGTGTAGAACAATCTCTAGGCTAATAAAAAAAAAAGGTATACCAGGTACGGTAGTTTCATTTGAATCTGTGAAACTTGAATTAACCCTTTTTTTATCCATAACAAACCTTTTTGCAATTTTTTTTTTGTTAAATAAGTTGTGAAAACTAAAGAAAATTTGAGCGAATGAGCTATACAGGGCGTTCCTTAATGATATGAGAATATTTAAAGGTGTGATTCTACATGAAAACTAATGATTGTTTGTTTTAAGAACGATGGTCCAAAAATGTTCCGTTGCGAAAATATGGGGTGGTAAAATTTTAGGAAAAGAAGGAAATAAATTTTTTCAAAACCTCTCGACTTACTTCAAAATGCTGGAAATCAGGTGACACACTCCAGGCCAACTAGGTTTATTATCTTTCGAATTGAAAGGGAATATCAAAAATAATTTTATTTGGGAAAAAAACCATTGGCGTACCATTTTCTTTAAAAATATCAGTCAGTACTCATACGCACACCACTGTTGGAGTTAAAAATTATGTTTGTATTGAAAAACATGCACCTTTAATAACTATCACTGCATACTAAATATCACTGAAATATTTCAAGTGGTTTCGAAAATTTTATTTAATTTCCTTTTTTTCTAAAATTTTAACACCGTATTTTTGCAAAGGAACATTTTTGGACCATTATTTACAAAGCAAACTGCAATTAATTTTTCATGTAGAATCACACCCTTAAATATTCGTATATCATTAAGGAACACCCTGTATATGGTGTAATTTTAAATGGTGGAATTAGAAACACAAGAATTTTTTTAAACCTATTTTTCACTATTTTCTGGACAGGCCAACATAACCTCAAATAACAGCGAGCGCTAGCCGGAACGCATAAAAAAATTAATTTCTTTAATTCTACAAACACAAATATTCATAATTATGGAAAAATTTAACGCATTGTAACGTCATTTAGTGCGACTTAGTCGGAATCTAATCTGAAGAAAAGCGCACGCAAGGAGCCTCGAAGCAAAGTGAATTTGTCTGTCTCTAGGTTGTCGTTATTATGTTCATGTTGTGAGGCGTTCTCTCCTGTCCCTGTTATTATACATCTTATGGATTAACGACAGCACTAAATAACGTCACAAATTAGCGCGTCACCTGTTTAAATATACGTGCCAAGCTGTAATAATTAATAAACAATTTTTTTGCAAATGTCAAAATTCAAACCAATAAAACACCGCGAATGGACTATACACTCGACATTTTAAAAAATACATTAATCACACACGTTTTAAACACGCTTCTCAAAGAACAGGAGTGTGAAGGAACCATTGCATTATTTACGTCCCGATTTTGGATTCACTTTTTTTTCTTCCTGTCCGTTTAGTTTCCCGCTCTCATTCGAATCATCCATCAACCCCAAACACAACCCTCACCCTTTGCGCAAGCAGAATGGCGATCGCGATTGTCGCAAATCGCAACTGATGAGTGACCTCGGCGGTGTTTTGTTGCTGCTTCGACGATTTACAACAATTATGGTAAGAGAATTTCGCTGTAAAATGTAAACGTTGAGGTTAGGAACCGCACAAAGTAGTCGGAAGAGCCCTTGTCCTCTCCGAATAGGGGATTTGCGGCTCCCCGTTGAAGTTAACGATTCGAGAGCTCTATGCAAAACATCCTTGCGATGAGCTTTAAATTTTAATAAATAGCTGTTTAGTACAGTTTATATACGTTTTTGAAATCGTCTTTTATTGCAAATTGTAGTAGCAGTGAGCAGGCAATGCCCAAATTGGGCATTAAATGAAAACAAAAATGATTTCTCCGAGGTAAAAAGTTTATTCAAAAAGAATTGTATCAAGTTTTATTTGGTAAAAAATTTCCCATTTTTTTTAAGTAGGTACCTAAGAAGATGGAGTACAAAGAAACGGTGGGTTTGTTATTTTTTTTATATACATTGTACATATAACTGGCTACTGTAACATTTTTTTAAAATTTGTGTTAAATACTTTAAAATTACTATTTGTGCTGACTTTTTTTATAGATTTACAAATTTGTAATACAATTTTTGCAATAGGTTTAAAGCAAAAATAGTGGCAGTTGCAGCTAATTGAAATAGTCATATTTTGGAAATAAAGCATGAGACAATCCATACATGTCTTAGGGGCTGATTTCTATGCGTGAATAGAGAAAAATTTTTTTCATTATGAACTGATATTCACGTATTTTCTTCATAATGAAAAATAAACATTTTTCGAAAAATAAAAGAGTACTTACCGGTTTAGGTCTATCGCTTTAATTAATGTTTTTTTTGAAGAAATTTAGTAAAAAGGGCATATATTGGTTAGGTAAAAGAACAATTTGCATAGTCATATTCAGAACTTTTGACACTCTCGCTTCTGCCAATTTGATTATGGACACCCCAAAAACATATGAAGGAACGACAAAATCAAGAGTCTCTTTTTTTATGGGTAGATTTAGGAGTGGACATCAATTAGCCACTTCTACTTGTGTCAGAAAATCATTTCGTGGCCGGCTATGACTTTTTGAAAGAGCATTTTTCTAGAACCCATATTAGCGACTTATTGCAAATATAACTCTACAGTGTGAATCAGCATGCCCTCCCAAAACTCTTGTGTACCAAATTTGATGAAAATTAATTCAGTGATTTTCTTTTAATACAGAATTATTCCAATAGTAAAAGTTACCAGATTATGGATGCCTGTTCAAGTGTGCCTTGAATGACTAACATTACTGGTATTTTTTTTTTGTAAATTTTACAACAGCTTGATTACTAGAAAGCTTTCTCACATTTTTATAAAACTCCTACAAATCGGCAACAGTAATTTCTTAAAGTACCGAATTGAAAGTCGTAGATCTTCTAAACTGCGCTGTCTGCTTTTGTAAACCTTATATTGGAGAGTCCCCCAAAAGAAAAAGTCCAGCGGCGTGAGATCTGGAGACTGAGGGGGCCAATCTATTAAAGAACTTCGTTTACCTATCAACTTGTACCAAAAATATGCAGTTAACCATTGCATATATCTTGTGAACAATGGCATGGAACAACACCATCTAATTGTAGATAAGCATACCGTCTTCCATTTAGAGGTATTTTATGAATTATGTACTTCAAAATTCATTATTCAAAAAATGTAAACATCTTGCACCATTGAAGTTAATTTTGTTCTATTATTTGTTAATTCCAAAAAGATTTCTTTATAGTAGTTGTTTTTTCGTGATTAGTCTTGATCAAGGGTGATAATAGAACAACAGAAATACAAGATATTTCTTGCAGCGCAAATATTGTGTTTTGTATTAATTGTATTTAGACATATCATTAGTTTTTATCTTGGATTATTTTTGGTATCGAAGAACATTATTTGACTTCATTTGTTAATTAAAAAAAATGATTGAATTTGTTAGAATTAGCTTAAACAATAAAAGAAAAATTTAGGACTTGATTATGAAAAAAATATTTCACAAATTTCATCTTTAAAAGTTCTCTGGGTGGACACAGAAACCAACCCCCTAAAAACGGGCCCCGCGCTTTATTATCAAAACACGACCACTTCAATTTGCTACAGCCGCCACCAATCAAGACCTATAAAGCATTTTCAGACAATATAAAATCACGCCATGAACTTCCCGCCGTTCGGGGGCCACTTCTCCACCGCCATACCCACGATCCACCAATTCGCCGCCAAATTCTCTCAGGAAACCGCCACCGGCACCCTCTGCCAAACTCAGGACAACAGCAATAGATACACCGCAAATGGAGTACCCTCGTTCACCCAGCACCACCCCGCGACGCACCAGCAGATGCTCAACAGCATCAACACCAAGTACCAGGGCGGCTACACGAACCAGACCGTCTACGGCCAGCAGGGCAACATCCGGCAGGAGAAACGGCAGAGCTACGAGCCCCAGGAGCTGGCCCAGGAGCTGTGCGCCGTCATGCTGCAGCAAAGCCAGCAGCAGCAGCAGCAGGAGAAGCCTGGTAGCGATAAGGTAACGGCAGTGTTTCAATGTTTTTATTTAATTGGATGTTTCCGCTTCACCGCAAAGGGAAAAAAAAATTAGCTTAACCAGATCCTAAATAAAAGAAAATCTTGCGATTTTAAGGGTGTCATTCCTCTATATTTCTCTTTTTGCCCGTTTTCTAGTCGAAACAAGAAGGAAACGATCGAAGACCCCAACACACCACTCAGAACCAACAACAAAATCACCATCACCCCCAAATTCACTCCACTCAACCCCAGAACATCGCCCAAAGCCAAACGTTGAACACCTCCTCGACGATGCCCGCAACGTGGCAATCCCTGGCGACGCCGGGTTCTGCGGTGGCCGATTACCTGTCTCACCTTCCCGCTTCTACGCTACCCTTAAGCCTCCATCATTTCTTAAAGTACTCGGCGGAAAACATTAAGAAAGAAACCAACCAGCAGCTGAACATACAGAATTCCGCCGAACCCAACATGAACCTTCTGCACAACAACTCCATCAACATAAACAGCTTGAATACGAACGGACTGAACGGCAACGTTATAAGCGGGAATACGAACTTGGCGACGGGTTCGATGAACAGTCTTAGCTCTTTGACGACGATCAACGCCACGCAAATACAGAACCCCACGCCTCCCAAGAAAAAGAAGAAGAAGAAACCCGAGAAGGAGAAAAAACCTAGACCTAAACCAGGTAGATATCTACGCGGCGTAGGAACTTACCGTTTTGTGTTTATTTTCTCATTTCTTTAGGTGAAATTCGTCTGACCACGGCATTAGACGGCTCGACGCTTTACTGCTGCCCGGAGTGCCACATGGCGTACCCCGAGAAAGAACTGCTCGAACAACACCTGGTGGGCCACACCTTAGAACGTCGCTTCGTTTGCGACATATGCGGGGCCGGCCTAAAAAGGAAGGACCACCTGACCAGGCACAAACAGTCCCACAATCCGGAGAGGCCCTACGTGTGTACCGTTTGTTTGAAGGCCTTCAAGCGCAAGGAACAGTTGACGTTGCACTTCGTCATACACTCGGGGGAGAAGAGACATGTCTGTACCGAGTGCGGCAAGGGGTTCTACAGGAAAGATCACCTCAGGAAGCACACCAGGTCTCACATCGCGCGGAGGGTGAAAGCGGAACTTTCCCAGCAAGGTAAGTTCATAGTATAAGTACGTTGGATTCAAATGTGGACCGTAAAAAGGCTAAACGAGTCAAATTATGAAGATATAAGTCTGTAGGAGCCAGATAGGTTTAAGGGGTGCAATTTGTAAAGATATGATCTTATTCAATAGCATTAAGCTCTGGTAATCTAGCAGGATGCATTCGTTGAAACTGTTTCCTTCCTGATTTCAGGAAACCCATCGCAAGCGCTTCAGATTCAAGTGGCCGCTCCCACTTCCACTGGTACTGGCGCCACATCAGGAATCTTGTCTTAATTATTGTACGCCTTTTGGTTTTTCATTTCGTTTAAGGGAATTCTAGTACTCATTGGTAGGGCGGAAATCGGCATGGTACTTTTTGGCTGTGATAATTTTTTACTTTCAAGTATTCTAGGCTAGTCGCAGTAGATCTGATCTACTTTAAAATTAACGTAAGAAGGATATGAAGTGTGAAAGAAAACAACAATCTATGGGTAAAATTTGAAATTTGTATATTTTCATGTTTTTAAAAACAAAGTTTTGTAAAGGGTATGGCCGGCAAAATGACCATATCTTAATCTGTTTGGCTGTTGAAAATCATACACTTAATCGGAACAACTATTATTACAAGAAAATATTATTTCTTACTGAGAATCCTTTACCCGGATATTGTGATCGAAATTATGTGCACTAGGTAGCGGAAAATGGCGAGTACTAGAATTTGGAGCACAGAGTATGGCCTCTAGTCACTTCCAGACTACCTCAGTACTTTTTATTGTGATACAAAAAAAAATGATAATACTCTGTGTGTATAGGTTTATTTTTAAGGTACAAAATTTTTGCTTTAACGGCATAGTACAAAAAATATTGTTGTTTGTTGTTTTTTTTTGATATTTTTGATAATCGTTTTTTTATATTATTGTGCGATTCTTTTAAACCAGATTCGACCAGCTCGTGAGGGCCAAAATTTATAAGCACGTAAAAACTTTTTTCAAATTTCGAGGATTTGTCGCCGAGATTAAAATTATAACCTACTAGTTTAATATTTTGTATCAAATTTGAAATGAAAGTTGCCGGATATCCAAGAATTATTATTTCGTCTCAATTTAACGTGCTTTTGAATTTTGGGGCTCCGGCAAAACTACGAACATCCTATTTTGTAGTAGAATGAGGTAAGTTACTACTAGCGTTTTTTTTCTTTGCGGAAGTTAGAATAGGAACGAGAAGTATTATTTGCCAATATTATGATAAGCAATGGAAAGTCTGCGTATTTATAAAAGATTTTCAAAACGAAACGGTAAGGCTTTTGAAAAATTTGCACTATTAGGCGTAGGATTTCATTGTGATTCGCGGACATATTTACACTTAATATGTAAATCTATATATTTCGGTACTGATACATAAAAACTATTGAAGTAAAAAAAATAAAGGATGCAGAAAAATCCGATTATTTTGTGAAGAGAACTGAGTGTTTATATTTATAGTGTGCGTGTATACATCGTATAAAAGTCTTTATATTTTGTATTATTTAAAAGTTCTTGGACTGTTAATGGTAAGAAAAGATATTTTTTGCGAAATTTTTGAGGACTTTAAAAGTAAATTTTATTTCGTAAGAACAAGCTGTAATTGTCGACTCGGTATTCTTTGAAAAACTATCGCACTCGTACAAGTGGACGTTTACGTCTTTAATTTTATTCTTGTGTAATAAAATCGTAAGGACACAATAACTTAATAGTACAAACGAAACCACTACTAAAATATGTATGCCATAATAAGTATAGTGATCGTAAGATAAAAAAAGTAATTTGTAACAAAAAATGATATATAACAACCCATCTATTTGATAAGTTTGATAGCGTTTAGTTTAAGGAAAACATATACACTTTAAAATTAAATAGTGATAGAAAATATATCGACAATCTACCGTTAAAAGAAATACAACTCCTTAGTAGCTGTGCCTACATTATTTAAGACCACATACACTGAAGTAAAAAAAAAACAAATACGAGATGGACGAAAATGCCTTAATTTTGTTAATGTTTGTAAAAAAATTTTAATAATCGATTGAATTAAAAAAAAATGGAAAATTTTTCTTAACTCAGTCTTGCAGTATTAAACTGTGATAATCGTTTAAAGTTTTGAAAAATCTTACCTTTTGTCCATCCTGTATTATCTTTTTAAAGTGTAAATATTTTCATATAATTGCTTGTAGCTGAGAGCTTCCTATGTATTTGCTTTATTATATACTTATCTACCTATTTATCAGAAATAAAACCAGTACGATATTTATCTTTCGAAGTTTTAGTTCTATTTCATTTGTTGGTATAAACATTCAATTAGAGCGACATTTAATGTCAAAATTAAAATTATTTAAATAAACTGATGTTTACTGAGAGTAGTTCCAAAGTACCTTTTGTCACTTGATAATTTGGGATAACGAGAAAGAGTGCGTTCGATAATACAGCCTCCTAGCTTCAACAGTTAGGCAACACCCCGGTTCCAAAATAGAAATTTAGGAACCGTAAGGCAACACAAAGACACACTTGTTAGCGCGTTCTTATTCTGCATAATCAAGCTCATAGGTTCTAAACGAGAGCGTTTATTGGGTGTTTACTACACTGAGAACTAATTTTTGACAGAGTGGCCAATAAGAACTCGCATTTTCCAAACCATAAGTTTAAATATCAGTGTCACTTCAACCAGTTCTATAATAATCTGCTCATGCACCCATTGTAAATACCTTAGAGCATATGCTATATGAAGGAAGCACACTTACTGCGAGTGTGTAGACGAGTGGTAAAGAGAGAAAGAAATAATTTGGATACTCTCTTTCTCTCTCGCGCAACGTGACTGGCTAACCCAACTCCTTCCTCATTGATTTTAGAGAAAGAGCGAGGGAGTACCCAAATTATCCTCCTTTCTCTTTATAGCGGCTACACACGTGGTCAGGTCAAACGTACTTGGATGGCAGCAGATTCTGAACAGTTTTAAAATTGTGGAATGTGGAGTTATAATTTCATAATATAATAATTCTGTGTTAAAGATAAGAAATCGAAATAATTAATATGATTTTACATCCGCTCAAAGAAATATTATAAGAATTTAAGAACCTACGTCTAGAAGTTTATTAGGTGATAAAAAAAGTCCTTACCATTAGAAATATTAATGCGTCATCAAAAAAATGAAATATAAACAGAAAACATTGTTGCGGCGTCCCTTTTCCCTTTACATTTCTTTTTTAAAAGTTTTGAATTTGTTCAGAAACAGTTCAATGTGCATACAGTCCTCAAGTTCAGCACCAAAACAAATATTACGTATCTAAATTTTGAACAATTTCTTATCTATGATTTTGAACCTGACTTGAACCTAACCTCAAACCGGTCTTCTAAACCCACCTGTTGATTGACCCTCACTTTTTAAATTATTTGTTTTTGGTATTTATTCTTAGGCTTATCAAGATTTATTCAAGAAGACTGTGCAAAAAAGTAAAGAATAATGGTGACCTTTAACGATAAATTAAAAGCCTTTTCAGTGGAATTATTTAAAGTGCAGGCAATAAAATTCGGCGAATATAAAACCAAAGTCGGTCTTATGACACCAGTATATTGTGATTTAAGAGTGATTGTGAGTTATCCTAAATTAATGGTAAGTAACAAAATTACTATTGTTATGTAACTATTGAAGTACTGGAGCGATGTTGCAGGTTTGTCTCACTTTACACCATAAATTAAATAATTGCTCATATCCTTATAATGGCACGAAAACCACAAAATTATTTCGAGTCATGTTACATCAAAGCGATGATAACATTCCTCATAATATTTTTCATAAATCCTCTGTATTTTACGTTTGTAAATACATACACATAAATAATTAGTGAAAAGCTTTCATATTTGTTTTTTTTTAGGAAACGTTAGCAGGCCTGTTAATTGAATATTTTGGAAAAATTAAAAATTTCGATATTATTTGTGGGGTGCCTTACACGGCACTACCCATCGCTACTGCCGTTTCTATAAAAACTTCTGTGCCAATGGTGATGAGGCGCAAAGAAACTAAAGACTATGGCACAAAAAAATTAATAGAAGGCGTATATAAGGAAGGAGACAACTGCTTAATTGTGGAGGATGTAGTGACGTCTGGAAGCAGCATTTTAGAGACGGTGAAAGATTTAAAAGGTGCCGGAATTGAATGCCGAGACGCCGTTGTACTTTTGAATAGAGAACAAGGCGGTGCGAATATTCTAAAAGAGAACGGAATAACGATGCATGCTTTGCTAAGCTTGACCGAGTTGATGAGGTTTTTGAGGGAGGCTGACTGTATCGACAATAGTATCGTTGAGAAAGTTAAAAATTACTTAGCTAATACCCAAGTGAATCCAAGCGTTATACAGAAATCCCCATCGAAAAGTAAATAAACATTTTTATTTTTGTAGGGCGAAATACATTTAAATTTTTTTAGATAGACTGGAGCTGTCTTTTCTAGCACGGGCGAAACTGGCCAAAAATCCGATTGCCGAGGAACTCTTGCAACTTATGGCCACGAAACAAACCACGCTATGCGTAGCCTCGGACCTTACCAGTTCTACGGACATCCTTAATCTTGCCGAGCGGGTGGGGCCGCATATCTGTATGTTAAAGACCCATATCGACATCGTCGAAGACTTTCATCCAAATCTGATAAAACCGCTCCAGGAAATCGCCCAGAGACACAACTTTATTCTGTTCGAGGACAGAAAATTCGCCGATATCGGGAAAACGGTGGAATTACAGTACAGCAAAGGGGTGTACAAAATCTCATCGTGGGCTAAGGTTGTAACGGCGCATTCTATAACTGGGAAAGGGGTGCTCGATGCAATTAAGGGAAGCGAGGGGTCTGATAAACGAGGGGTGTTTCTTTTGGCACAGGTCAGCGCGTCGGGAAATTTAATCGATGAAAGTTATACTAAAGCAACCCTGAAGTTAGCCGAAGAATACCCACGTTTAATAACAGGTAATTTTTTTTAATGGAATAAATATTTCGCTTAATCTTGTCTACGTTGTCTTTAACACAATTTTTTATAGAATTGACCGTTTTTAGGTATCGTGTGCCAAAGTCCTCTAGCTTTGGACAATCCCGGACTCGTCCAGCTGACCCCTGGGGTGCAATTGGAGGCGAAAGGTGATAATTTGGGGCAACAGTACAACTCCCCGAGCAGTGTGGTACTCGAGAGGGGTGCGGATGTAGCTGTGGTGGGAAGGGGTGTAACGAAAGCTGCAGATCCGGGAGCTGCAGCAGAAAAATATAAAAAGATTCTGTGGGATGCTTACAGCAAAAGGGTTAATGGGAATTGAAACTATCCAAAAATAAAATTGTCAATCTGAGCTATTATTCCTTTTTTTTAGAATTTTTTGCTTCTAAATGATTATTTGTATGTAAATATTAAAAATGTATAAATTTGATGTGTATTATTCAATAAAATGAAGAGAACATTTCAATATGGGTGAGATATAACCTATAAAGTAATCTATGTCATAAAAGTCATAAAACTCGCTGCAACTTGACATCTAGTGGTGCAAAGTGTCACTGAACCAAATGAAAAGGACTAATAAGTTCCAAACCAATGAAAGGGGTGCTATTGAGAATAATCTTAGCTGTTCACTAAATATAGTTCTGTAATTTAATGCTAGACGAAGCATGTTACACACAAAAAAATTTGTTTCCTACTATATCATGTTAAAAAGTTGAATTTACCGCCAAACTACTAATCGGTGAAGATCCATTTATATGACATGGAATTGCCACAAGATAATATAACTCGCTATTTGATTGGTTGCTGAGAAATGCTTTACTCTGTTTCCGTGCGCAACACCGTGCGGATCCACCCTTATCGCTGTCGAGTGGCATATCTTTTTAATTACTGTGAAGTGATTGGCACAATACTCTTCTTGTTGATTGGTCAGTTCAAGAAAAAAAACAACTAACCGTTTTTGTTGCTATCCTTTCTCGTGTTCGTTCCTCCTTGTCCTTGTTTCGTGCGGTTTCGTACCTTTTGAACTTGGGCTAGTGTTGTGTTTGTTAACCATTTTTATCATTTTGGTTAATTGGAATACGAAATTAACGGGTTAACTGAAAAACGTTTATTTGAAAATTCTCAGTGATTTTGTATTTGCAGATTCCAGATCAGCCATTTCCACCATCTGTGCATAATATCGAGGTATGTTTGTTGTTTTTTTGTTGGTCAAGTAAAAAGCTAGGTTATGCTAACGATTAAATCATTTATTTGCAAAATATTTACAATAAGGCATGAGAAGCGAGCAAAAACAAGCGTCTGTTTAACGATACCAAATATTTAACAGTATATGAATATATGCAGGCTTCCTGAAGGCAATTTGCGCGTATATTTGGGGTAGGAAAAACCTAACCTCAATTGTATTGCTCCCCTTTTTTTGTATGCCGATTTGGTAAATACAAAATATTAGAATTTCTTAGTAAATATATAAACTATTTGAATATAAACAATGGGTCAGTCCTTAATAATTAACGATAATTAATTAAAAATACCGTTGGTGAATCACATACGATTACAATAAAGCATGATTTTATTAGACATGGACGGTCTTGCATTAAGTAGCTTTGCTCATTTAAACATCGATTATTCCTAAATTATTTGCTGCGAATTTAGCGCTTGTTTATTTACGTTTTTCATTTTAGACTTGAGCACGTCACGGCTAATTTTATGCAAGCTGTTGAATGGAATGTAGTGTTTAAGTTCGTTACTTGGGAAGTTTACCTTCCACACTAGTCTTATTATTAATTTTAAAGGGTATTTTACAAATATTAATCTAGTACAGTAACTTAACTCTAAAAATTATGCCGTTAGTTTCTATTTTTTCAGTTCTACAACTGTTACAAGACATTTTACACTCGTTGAGAGGTGATCTGTTTATTAATAAACGTTCGATGCTGGAAGTGTTATGAAATAATCGAAAAAGGAAAAATCAGCCTTATGTATCCAATATAAAAAAGCAATAAATGAATGTACCTGTTACGGTAGTATAAATATGGAATTTTTGAGTGTCTTAGGTTTTCGGTTTATTTATTTTGTACAAATCTTAGTCGTAAATATTATTTTAGGTCATTCCATTATTTGCTACTTTCTTATAAGTATGTTCTTGCAATTTATTAACGAATTTCTTAAGAAATGGTTGTTGCTAATGAAACATTAATAAAAATTAATGGAATACTTATGTTTGCTCTATTTTGACATGGTTTTTACTGTTTCGTGAGTTTAATTATAACATTTATTTATTTTCTTAACATTGGTGGTAAATAGTGAAATAATCTATGACGTGCTGCTTTCTAATTAAGAAAATATGGTTATATAAACGTAGCTTTTAAAATAATTTTAAAACGTGAGAAATACAACAGTTTTTAAATATTTTTGTTGAAGGAATTAGTTTAATTAAATCTTTAATTTCTTTATCTTAATTTGAAATTTTATTTTACGTGCGAGATATTAAGTGAAAAATTATAAAAACGATTTTTCTTTGTGCCTGTTTGTTTTATTCCAACATTTAGGCAAAGTTTGACATGGCTCGGTATTGTTTGATTTGAATTGTATTTTAATGATTTCCGCACAAAATTCACTTTTATAATTTACCATTTAAAGTCCCTTTTAGCTCCTTTAGAGTCCTAGGACCCTTATAACGTATTTGGGGGCTACGTTTATATAGACTTTTTTTCTTATTTTGGTTCCATGTTGGTTATACTTACTATTATTTTGACACCCTGTATGCTTCATTGAACAACACCATGTCCTATATCGGTTTTTTACCTTTACTTTGCCCTCTGAATAAATAAATTTATTTATTTTTCGATGTGTTAAGAATGTTTATGATTCATATTTTTTTTTCAAGAATGTTTTAAAAATACATTTTTATATGGAGTTAGGCGTTACCTTTTGAACACACTCGCCTTTTGTCTAGATTTTCTCAATGATGGATGTTTTGTTTTAATTTTGCGAAGTAAAAATATACTTAATTTTTCTTTACTTATTAGGTATTTTGCCACCTGTTAAAAAGTTACAAAACAAAAATGATTTAATAAATCCTAGTGCCAAAATAATCAGTCAAGGATTATTTTTATGAAAATTGTTTTGGCTAACCAAAAATCTCACACCGAAAAAAGCAGACTAATACAAAATGTGCATCACTTCGAAAAGTTGTTTTGAAAATCAATATTTGTTGGCCTTCTAAACTGATAATGACGTTTTTAAATATTTTTGATAGTTTAAATTGGTTTGTTTTACCTGTTTCATATTTGGAGATACCATATGATATTTATTTTCCTCTTCCAAAATGTTGGCCGAACTCCATTGAATTGTATGAGCGTTTTTCCAAGTGAGATCGCATATTTTTTTATCTTAAAATCTTGGTTCCTTGTTGGCTACGTATACTAAAAGATGAAGTAAGTTATTATATTATAAACATTATGTGATGTCTCTATTCTCTAACCATGGAAACAGGTCAAAACAAACTAAATTGAAACTGTCAAAAATATTTAAAATCAAAAGACGGAAACCAGATGAATTTTTGTCAACAAGTTTTTCAAGTAATCGGTATACAGAGTGTCCCAGAATATGTGGGCAATCTCTCGGATGTATACAGGGGACGTTAAAATAACATGACAAGTTCCTATAAAAATTTTCTCTACAGGACCCTAAAAAACGCCATTGAAAATCGATTTTTTTTTAATAACTTTTAAAATACTCTGTGTATTTTAATTATTTTCTAATACGATGGACAACATATAAGACCACTTAAAAATGAAAATAATTTGACTTATTTGGTTTGCGAAGAACGGACTAGCTGTATCACAATAATGTCAATTTTTTTACGATAAAAGCACAAAAGTAATATTTTTAGATAGAACCTTAACCTAAAAAAAGGCGCCCTTGGTTGATATCGATAAAATTAACTGTTTTCGAGAAAAAACTATTTTTATTTAATATGATTTTTCTTAGAACCGTAAAGAGAAATAAACCGATGAAATTTGCATTCTTTCTGTGCCTATCTAAAATAATGCCGCTTTTATTTGTAGTAACTAAATTTATATCCAAATTTCGCGTTAATTGCGCCGAAGACAGAAGAAGAAGAAGAAAGAAGTTACGAGGCTAGTCAGTAGAGGATTAGTAACTGTAGAGTACGAAGCTCCCGAATGTTATTTAGGTTTATGAGAAAATAAAATGCAAATATTACGTTATTATTATTATTATTAAATCACCCCAACGACATATTTAGATTTGTTTTTTCCTAAAAATAATTAAATTACAAAAAGTATTTTAAAATTTATTTAAAAAAATCGATTTTCAGGGGCGTCCTCTAGGACAAATTTTTATAGGAACTTGTCATGTTATTTTAACATCCCCTATATAAATCCGAGAGATTGACCACATAATCTGGGACACCCTGTGTAATGATGCGCGTTTGGTATTTGTCTGCTTTTTTCATCGATGAGATTTTTGGTTAGGCTAAAATAACCCTTTATTGATGCTTTTGGCACAAGAGTTTATTTCAAATTAAAAAACAATTTTTTTTCATATGTGACAAAGTTCCTAATACTTAAATAAAGCAAAAAAGCAGAACTATGCCACAAATAAGTAACTTCAGACAACTTTTAATTATAAAAATTGTTGAAAATTCTTTCAAAAGTAGCTTTGTTTCGAGCAAATTTACGATATTTTGTACAAATGTTATTTGAAAATTGTATATTTCGAGATTCTGTGACATTTACGTTTTTCATAAATCAAAAGTCAAAGTTTTAGTGGGATAAAGATCAATAAATAAAAGAACACTATATTTTAAATCATTGCCAATGTCTCGGTGTTATTTTACACCATCCTCAGGGCTCGAAAATTGAATTTTTCTGTCCAACTTAACAGTTCTAAATATTAAGAAGATGGTATCTAGATACTTATATATGTACCGTCATTCTGCTGAACAGTACCTAAGACCTTATAACAGTTTTTACTGTGAAAAAAAAAAACCGCATTGAATTTGTTCCACGAGTTATAAGTACACATATATCTAGATACCATCTTCTTAATATTTAGAACTGTTAAGTTGGACAAAAGACACTTCAAATTTCGAGCCCTGAGGATGGTGTAAAATAACACCGAAACGTTGACAATGATTTAAAATATAGTGTTCTTTTATTTATTGATCTTTATTCCACTAAAACCTCGATTTGGATAACTAACCAAGATCGCTAAACAGTGGAAACGTAATTGAAATTTTATTTTGAGTAAGTTGCTCAATTTGTTGGCCAAATTTAATTTATGTGTTGTAACCAATGCATCTAAGTCGGTTTATTGGGTTACAACAGATTGGTAAACACAAAACGACTTAAAAGTTACCCGACACCATCATTGAAAAAGAACAAAACCGAGGGTATTCCAAAGGGAATCCCTCCTCGACTTCCACTACTCAGCCTTAGAGACACAACTTTGCCGCGTATTTCTCGGGCCAGAGTCGCAAGAACCGTGTGCGCTAGTAGTTGATCATGCTGGAGATGGGGTTGAACCGCATTATCTTCGACAGCAGGATCCACAGGACGGACGTCATGACGCAGAGCATGACGCCGCCCCAGCCCAGGTCCAGCGACCAGGACGTGGTGAACACCCTGGCGGGGAGGAGGTCCTTGACGCCGCGGCTGCCCGTGGGGCTCACCACGCCGTCGACGGTGCCGTCCGAGTCGTGGGGTTTCGTGTGCAGCCGTTTGAAGTGGATGATGGTCAGCGTGAAGAGGGCGAACGACGCTGAAAAAAATTAGATAACGTTAATGGTGATGTTTTGAGTTCTGAAATTACGGAAGTAGATATGAGCTATTTTTTTTATTTTGCTCGTGGATTTATACAGGTTGTACAACTTTGAATGGAGATGTTTGTGTCCTCAGGTTTCATCGTGAAAATTGAATGTCTTTAACTTTTTTTTCGTATTTTTTCATACCCCGCCATTGGACAGATGTAATCTTCCATTTATACAGTGTAGGAAAGTGCCGATGGTCTATCACAAGTTACGTGAGAGCGATAAAGTAAGACATAGAAATCCATGCGATAGAGAAGGATGGCTATAATGAAGGCGTCCCATTCATAGACATACTGAATACTGATTCTGTCTGATCTGAGGACGACGACCGGTCGCTCAGTTAAAATTTGGGCCAATAGCATGCGCTCGTCTCCTACTTATTTGTGGAAGGGCGAAACAGGTGGTGACTATGAAACGCCTTCACTTTACCCATCCTTGTCTGTCACATGTATTTCTATGTCTTACTTTATCGCTCTCACGTAACTTGTGATAGACCATCGGCACTTTCCTACACTGTATAGAAAAAATTCAGTTAATTTTCAACTTAAAAGTCCAGAAAGTTCACTGATGAACATACAAGAGTTTTTTTATGTTCCCGATTCACTTTAAACAATTAAATTTACTTAATTTTGTGTTAATATGTTGTTGATTTTTCCTTTTCCATACTATTTTTACATTTATAACGGTGAAAATTGGATTTTTTTTGGGTTACGTTAATTTTTAACGTTTTTCGTCTGTAAAACATTATGACGCGCTATATTTTTTTACAAGAGGTGCCAGTACGTACCTGCTAATAGGTACATGACCCCTGTGACCAATACGGCGCTGATCTGGTGCTGGAAAACGCCGAAAGCCCCTATAAGGGCTGCGCTGCCTAGGATGATGAGGCACACCAAGGCGCAGGAGATGGACAGGTTCTGCATCCCTGTTGGAGAATATTAAATCAGTTGGTTTTAATTTCGATTCTGAATACTGGTATAAATGAGATAGATAAGGCACGATTTAAGAAAACCATGTAAAACCAATTTTTTCAAATTCCGGAGTAAAAATCGGGGTTCCCGCTTGAAAAAACGGTAGTTGACCTCCAAGTGACCTTGTAAATGACCTTCAATGTCAATTCCAAGGTCACAGTCAGTCACGGTGGCCTCCGATGACCCCAACCTTTAAAAAGGTCTTTTTCCTGATATCTCACTATCCTGAGAAGTTATTCAGGCGTATTCATACTTTTTGGACACCCTGTATAATAATAATAAGATACCTACCATGTAAAATTGAAAAAATTACTAGTGAGAAATTTAATGAGCGTATAGAAGTGGATTTTATAGAGTTTATTTTCTATTCGTAACGAAGATTTCACCCTCGAATTCGAACCTTGACAAAAAATCAATTCGAAGCGAAGAGCGGGCCGGATTCGATAGTAAATTTATTCCCTTATATTATAGCCGTTCTATATTTCACGATTTTGTTGTTTTGCCTTTCTATAAACGCGCCTCGAGACGTCTATAAGTTCTTGTTTTCCTCTCCGACATCCCTTGGGGGCCAGTATGCAGAGATTTGCATATAAATTATGAAATATGGCTTGTTTTCCTGGGGCTGTATTTCAGATATGCGCGCAGTGGCGGCTCGTGACATTGAGAATAGGTGAAGCATGTTCATTGATTGAGTAAAAAGAAAAAAAAGCGCCGCAAGCGAAAATTTTCGCGTTCGTGAGAAGGATTTTCATTTAGATTTTATAAAAAATTGAAATATTAGTTCGGCTTGTAAACTTCTGCGAACATTAACGCACACCATACATGTATGTTCCAAAGAAGCTTTGTGGTTACGACAGCCTGACGGCATACAGAAAGGTTTTTTTAAATAAACACTTATACTCCGAATACCATTCTTTCCGAAACTTCCGAACGTACACATTGTCTTTTGACTTCGCCTTTTTTCCATATCGAGAGAAGGCACAGATCTCTCTCAATTTGAAAAATCCTTTTTGTCCTCAATTTTCCATCCGGAAAATGGCGTTTCCAATGAAATACATACTGGATCATACATAGAAAACATTTCTACATTTATTATACAGAACAAATATTAACTAAGAACCGTTATAATCGTGCACTGGGCGACGCGTATCGTATAAACTGTTTAAAGGCAGACGATGGGCGATGCCAATGCTGTTTCAATTTCCGCGTCATTCGTTCCCCCACGCCGTAGTTTACTCCCGTGTTGGCCGCCTCATTGCCATGACAACCGCGTGCCGTAAACAACGCTTCGAAGAGAAGCGGAATACAGACTGATTTCGATCTGCGTCAGTTGCGTATACTATACGTTGTCGTTGTATGGTACGAGGTTGATGTTCGCGCTCAATGAAGGCAATGTTTTTTTAGAAGGCGTACACCGCGCAACTATTCTGTTTATTTCTGCGTATTAAACAAACAAACAATACATTTTCAATATGGAAGTATACCTAAATTATAAAATTTATATAAAATTGAAAATAATTTTAAATTGCACAACCAAACAGAAATTTTAGGTGAAGCGGTGCGTCGCTTACGTCATCTGACGAGCCGCCACTGTATGCGCGGTATTGAAATTTCCATAACAGGAGGATGTTTAGATGTCTAGATGGAATGTAATACTACACCGGGTGATCACGTGGTTACTCTGATTGGTTCAGCCAAAACATTTAATTCTTTTTGTATAAAATCCATTGTAAATATGAAAAAAGTCCACGTAAATTTCAAGTATATTTTACCGTACTATAAACCACAAGTACTTAGCGTAGGACGTATCGCGATGTATAGCAGAAAAAAAAATTAAAGGATCCGTCTCCATTTACCCCAATTAGGTTACTACGTCCTCTTCATCCCTTTTGTACCCCTATTTATACCGTAAATCGCGTTACGGTCGATCCCACCTAAGGTTGCCCGTACAATTTTGGAAGGGGGATTTTGTATACGTCGGTCGGTGTTGTGTGCGAAATAAAACGGTTTTCGATAAAATAGAGTTTACGACGTCAACGGCAGTTATCCTGTCTGCGTCCTTCGAAGGGGTCCTTAAAATGATCTCGAAACGACGTCTGCTCGACAATTGAAACGTACGAGGCAACAATGTAACCAAAAAAATAAAATACCGGAATATATGTGAGTATTGTTACTTTATAATTTTAAACGGGATGTATATACCAATTTGGAAAACCTGAAATTTATCAGATATGGAAGTATCGGGGAAATATTGTGAAAATTGTAAAATATTTATAAAATTTTTTCAAATGATCCTTCTGGATCTCATGTAACTGAGAATTAAATTCGCCACTACTACTAATTTGTTGTTGATTAGAGATCTTGGAAAGTATTATATGTATAGAAAAGCTGGTTCTTCTTACTTACTTACTTACTTACTTACGTACTTACTTACTTATTTACTTACTTACTTACTTACTTACTTACTTAGTTACTTACTTACTTATTTACTTACTTTCTTACTTATATGCTTTCTTTCTTTCTTACTTACTTACTTACGTACTTACTTACGTACTTATTTATTTACTTACTTATTTACTTACTTATTTACTTACTTATTTACTTACTTACTTACTTACTTACTTACTTACTTACTTACTTACTTACTTACTGACTTACTTACTTATTTACTTATTTACTTACTTTCTTACTTATATGCTTTCTTTCTTTCTTTCTTACTTACTTTTTTCTTTCTTACTTACTTTCTTACTTTCTTACTTACTTACTTACTTACTTACTTACTTACTTACTTACTTATTTACTTACTTTTTAATCGACCGAAATTAAAAATAATACAATTTTCAAAATATATGGAGATTTATAGCCCAAATTATAATAGCTTTCATTTAATTTCACAAAATTTAAATTTTCATATCAAAATAAAGTCAATATTAAAATAACCGAAATTGAAAAATGTCGCCTTTTGCCTTTTTTTAAATGTGGTTGTGGTTTTAGTTTTAACTGCAGTTTTTTTACATTTTTTAATATTATTATTTCATATTTAATACATATATTTTTTTTAATTTTAGTTGATTAAAATGATGCTATCTTCTTCTAAACCAAAAACTTCTTTGTTGTGAGACAAGCAAATTTAGAAGAAAAAGCTTTTTAAAAATCATAAATAAAAATGTTTCCTATTAGGTGAACAGTTTTGTAGTGGCCACTGTATAATTTGTGAAATAATTATACGTACTTTATTAAAAATTTACGTGGAATACATTAACAAAAAATTTAGAAAATGGTGATTGAAAAAAATAGATTTTATATCTTCACAAACTGTAATTTTTTTTAAATCTACCAGGAAATATTGGTCCAAATTTAATATACACCCCGTTTAAAAATTTTTAAACAGATAATTTATTTTATAAAACCCAGGTCTGTTCTAGATTCTTTCCAATTTTCATGTTTTTTATTAATATAATATTCAAACCACATTATAATTATTCGCGGAAGTAAAATTAGTATCAGATACTTACTATGTTGCCAGTCCGCCCTAGGTTCATACCCGCGTACTCCATCGATGCCTCCAGAGAGGTAATTTACGCAGGGTTGGACGGAGGGAAACCCTACTCTGCCGAGAAGGGATATTTCTTCGTCTGGAAAAAAAATAGCGGTGCGATATTTGTTCGCTTAGTTTTGAAACATAGGTATATGATTAACCATCACTAAAGGCTATTACGGGAGAATATCGCGTGACTGCGTCATCTGTTGGCTCTCTGGAAACGTCAAGAAATTCTGTCATAACGCCGTTATTAGTTGTGTAAAGCGATTTAGCGATTCGGGTAAAGCAAAGAAAATGAAACCAAACATCTAGCCATTATTGCGAGGGTGGAGAAAATGAGATTAACTGCTATGAGGCCCGTGTCAGGCTATCAAACCCTCGTCATATTTGTTTGATCAAAGTAGTTTGATGATGTCATTAAGTTACAATTTGAAAATTTACCAATTTCGATCAAACTAGTTTGATCAAAATCATACAATACATACAAGCATAAAATACTGTGTGTTACGTTTCATTGAAATTCATATAATTCAAAATAATATAAAATAACTTTTATCACATCTACATTGGCAGTTCCGTTACATCTTGTTATGTTATTAAGTGGGCATTACCAACAACGACCAAAAATAGCGGCTAGTTGCTTAAGTGTACCTCTGCTCTAGAGTTACACTGTAAATTTATTAAAACCAATTATAAAAAATTAAAAAATAATCCTATTTTGTGGCTTTTTTCTGTATAAAATTTCGCCTAATTTTATGTAAAACCGAATTAAACACACCGCCACTCCATTCCTGACCGAAGAATGAGGTTATTCGGTCATTAAATTTGAAAGGGAAATGAATTTAAATTGTCGGCTGTCTCGGAGGTATAATAAAATGCAGATTTTAATCAAACTAGCTGTGTTATTAAGACGCATTTTATGGGATTCCCTCCCTTCATAGTAATTTTGTACGGCACCTACTTAGTTTAATCCCAGACTTCATTGTATATTCATGTGTAACTGAGGCTTTGCAGAGCTATATTAAGAAGTGGGGTTCGAGAAAATGGCTCAGTGCTGCTGTTTTTTTAAATATCGTAAGATTCTATAAAAAATTCGATGATACCTGTCAGGCTGACGCAAAGTGTCCATATTCCTCCGTGCATGGGCACTAGGAACGCCATGGGTCTGTCCTTCATATCGTTGGTCGACACTCTAGCCACAGTTCTATCTAATAGCCACCTCAGTTTTACTGTCCCGTTAGCCAGAATGTCTAGACTTTCCTTATCCCAGGTCACTTCTTCCCAGTGGTCGGTCATAATGGCAGCGCACAGCATTCCCGTGGCACAGGTGGTCAGCACAAGAGTACCTGTAACAGTTTTGAATTAGTCTAGAGGAGAGGAATACTGTCTTTTAGATTATAATGATTGCAGCTTATCATTGACTAGGTTGTGTTAGTTTTTGGATCTAGAGATACTCGTTAAAACTAATTTCAATTAGTCTGGAAGGGAAAATTACTTCTACAGCATACAGTTTATCAAAAACTAGATTGTGGGAGTCAATTTTTCTATTTTTGGACTTAATAAGTCATCTACTTGGTATAGGTGATCAACACAAGAGTTCTTGAGAAAGTTTTTGATTAGTCTGGATAAGAGTACTACCTTTTTGGTACTGATACATCTAGGTTATCAAAAACTAGGTTGTAAGAGTCGGTTTTAGCTAGTCTTGGACTTAGAGAATTATTTCCGTGGTACACTTGGTCAATACAAGAGTGACTGCAATAGTTTTGCATTAGTCTAAAGTTGGTCTTTTTAATTCTAATAAAGGTTATCAAAAACCAGCTTGCGAGAGTCCGTTTTTGGTATTCTTTCATCTACAGAATCATCTGCATGGCACAGACTGTTGATACGAAATCTGTAATAGTTTTGTTAGTGCGGATAGGAAAAATACGCATGTTTGTCATTAAAAACTAACTCATGAGACTCAGTTTTTGGAGCTAGAGAATCATCTACATGGTGTGGCTTCGGTGGTTGCCCATACTCACCCAGGAGGAAGAACACGCTGGGGTGAACGCTGCAGTTCCAACCCGTCTCGTCCTCGGTCTCGGTGTTCTCCATCAGGGGGTCGTAGTCCACTATCAGGAGGTCGTACTCGTCGTGTTTCAGCTTGATGGCCTCGCCCACGAAGCGACAGAAGTAGCCTAGGGACTGAATCTTGACCTGGAGTTGTGAACGGTGTGGAAACGTTGTGGAATGGTGTGCGTTACTCAAGGCTTGAACCTGAATGTTGACGTTAGCCTGTGATAATAATACTTTATTAGAAAGAAATAAAAAACGGCAAAACTTACATTTTTCTTGCAAGAGTGACCAGAATGTTGCAAATAATGATTTAATTTTTCCTAATAATACTCGTAACTTGTCGAAAACAGTCCGCGACATCTTATTTTTTCAATAATTTGCGATTTCATACTTTTATGCCATAGAAAATTATTTTTTTTTTACAATTTATTCGTTCATAATTAGAAGCCTGTACATAGTGTTTATAACTATTTCTTAAGGCGTATTGCTACTTATTACGTTGTATTATTACATTTTAAAATGTATTATTAAATATACACACATAAATGTAAATTTACATTTGTAGTAAACTGTTTCGGGTTTGTATGTAAGGTGTAAAATGACCTGCTTAATATAATTTTACTTGAAAGAGCTAATTTTACATGTGAATATGTGACGTATTAAAATTACATATATATGTACATGTAAATTTACATTTAGAATTAACCGTTATTTTAATTATATGATATCAAACAGTTTTATATTTTAAATGATTTAACAAAAGTTTAAGAAAGTTAAAACGACTTGCTTACTGTAATTTTACTTGTGTAAGCTAATTTTACATGAATATATGGTGTAGAAAATAACAAGTATAAATGTAAATTTACATTTAAAATTAATCGTTAATTCAGTTACATGATTTCGTATAAATTTACGTTTTATATGTTTTAAGAAATGTACAGGAAATATAAAACGACTTGCTTACTGTAATTTTACTTGTGTAAGCTAATACTACGGGAATGTTTAGTGTAGAAAATTACAAATATGAATGTAAATTTACATTTAAAATTTACCATTAATTCAGTTATATGATTTCGTATACATTTACGGTTTATACGTTTTAACAAAACTGTAATTTTACTTGTGTAAGCTGATTTTACGTGAATATTTAGTGTAGAAAATTACAAATATGAATGTAAATTTACATTTAAAATTTACCATTAATTCAGTTATATGATTTCGTATACATTTACGGTTTATACGTTTTAACAAAAGTACAGGAAATATAAAACGACTTGCTTACTATAATTTTACTTGTGTAAGCTAATTTTACATGAATATATGGTGTAGAAAATTACAAGTATAAATGTAAATATACATTTAAAATTAACCGTTAATTCAGTTATATGATTTCGTATAAATTTACGTTTTATATGTTTTAAGAAATGTACAGGAAATATAAAGCGACTTGCTTACTGTAATTTTACTTGTGTAAGCTAATATTACGGGAATGTTTAGTGTAGATAATTACAAGTATAAATGTAAATTTACATTTTAAAATTAACCGTTAATCCAGTTATATGATTTCGTATAAATTTACGTTTTATATGTTTTAACAAAAGTACAGGAAATATAAAACGACTTGCTTACTGTAATTTTACTTGTGTAAGCTGACTTTACGTGAATATTTGGTGTAGAAAATTACAAATATAAATGTAAATTTACATTTAAAATTAACCGTTAATTCAGTTATATGATTTCGTATAAATTTACGTTTTATATGTTTTAACAAAAGTACAGGAAATATAAAACGACTTGTTTACTGTAATTTTACTTGTGTAAGCTGATTTTACGTGAATATTTGGTGTAGAAAATTACAAATATAAATGTAAATTTACATTTAAAATTAACCGTTAATTCAGATATATGATTTCGTATAAATTTACGTTTTATATGTTTTAACAAAAGGACAGGATATATAAAACGTCTTGTTTAATGTAATTTTGTAAATTTACGGTTAACCGTTATAAGTTTACATTTTAAATGATTTGTAAAGTGCAAAAATTCAAGTAAATGTAATTTTACATAAAATTTTTAATATTTATTAAAATATGTACCATATTACCATATGGAATTTCACCGCGTGCTATTCGGATTTATGTCGCGATTCTATCATATCAGTCACATATGTTACTCACCTTTCCAGCGGCGATATATCTTTCTAGTATTGGGGTTTTCAACTTTCCCAGCCTCTTGTTCGTATCTCCTGCTCCTCAATTTCTCATACCGTAACGTTTGCCGTCGGGTTTTCCGCTAAAGTCCCATTTATCCTCCCAAACAACTTTCCCAACTCCTTTCAACCAGGGACAGGGAGTTGATGGTTCGGTTAATCCTCGAGGTCCTCTTTAAAAATGTATCCCTTAATCGGTGCCGCTAAACGGGTCTGAAACTGGGATTAGAAACGTGGTAGTTTTAAGTAGTATACAGGGTCCGCTGCCAAAAATTTTTTAGCTTTTTCATACATTTTTGGACACGAAACGAATAAAATCGTTATCACTTTTTTACCATGAAAGTACAACTCTTAAGGAAAAAAATGAGCCTTGATTCGTTTCTCTACGACTATTTGTCGAGCAAAAAGAGTCGATTTTCGAGATGACCTTTTTTTTCGAAAAATCGATAAAACTAAAAATTTTTTAATATTTTTTAATTTAAAAAAAGGCACTTTTTTTGCTTGTCTAGGGCTACATTTACAGCAAGTAACAAGTTTCAAAACCTTAATTTGCAAGAGATACAGCAAAAACAAAAAAAGTCGATTGTTGACGGTTTTTTCGATATCTCTCGAAAAGTAATATAGCAATTGATATATTTAAAAATACGAATCGATAGGTTTTTTTAATAGCTACAACATTCTCATTTAACTTTTTTTATTTGAGTTCAAGTTTTTTTTTTAGCGAAAAATCGTTTTTTTCCTTTTTTTGATTTTTTTTTTTTACTTTGGCGTTTATACACCACAGGGAAAAACCCCTTTCTTAGAATTGTTTTTTCCTATATCACCACATTTTTTGTTTCCAGGTGGCATTTTTTGTAAGCTCTTATTATTATTATTAAGCTCTACCTATTGATCGGACAATATTTTGAATGTTCCGTTGTACACGTATGTATGTGTAGAAATCGAAAATATCTGTCATAGTCTTTCAGATTTTTTTGAAAAATGCATGATTAACATTTCGATTTTATAGTTTACTACATTTACAACAACTTTTTTAAGGCCATTTTTGCTCATCCATAATAAATGTATTGCAACGTTTCGTCTTTCAGCAAGCATCATCAACTTTAATATAAACGTATATTATTTTTCCGGAAATGACGTATATATTGCTGTTTAGTGACGTTTTGGACTGGAACGCTCATATTCAATGTTATTTTTCTTCAATGATAGTTAGTTTTTCAATCTCATTTAATTTTATATTTCAAAACTTTCCTAAATTTGCAAAATATGAAATGTCAAAATCCCCGAATAAAATTTTTTGGATACTACCATTTTTTTTAGGTTTAAAAAACTTTCTTAATAAAATATAAACAAATCTCAACGAAATTGAATTGTATACTCGTATTAGAATAAAATCTACAAAAATCGAGAAAAAAATGATCAAGTTATTGGAATATCATTATTGTAAGTTTTGTCATAATACATGTTATGATTTTGTTATGTATTAATTCGTATTTTATAAATTTATTTTGAATATATGTCCTATAAAATTGTAGAGTACCACCAAAATAAGACTGGCAATGAGTTTTCTAGTCTTTTCTAAATATTTTGCTCGGAAGAAAATGAACAAAGGAAACGATAAAATCGAAATCTGAAGAATTGCGGAAACTCAAAATTAGGTAATTTTGCTCCAACTTAGCTATTCTTCCATCTCTGACTGTTTCCGAAGTTGCAATGTTGCCATATCATTCTTATTCAATTTTAAAGTCCCTATAAAGCAAAAGTTATCGACCTATACATCAAATAAAAAATCTCCATGGCCTATTCGATGACTTAATTATTATAGACGTCGTTAAAGAAAAAATCCGATGGAAAATAAACTTTCAGCCTCTATTTTGTTATCAGCAATTGTTTTTTTTATTTAAGAGTTAGTTCAGAAGGCCTTGGTCAAGTTCTACATACTTGATATTTTTTTTGTTCAGGTACTTGATTATTTTACACAGGGTGATGAAAATTATTGTCGAATTTGCTTAACTTTGAACCGCCAAAACTTGGTTTTTCTAAACGAATCACTCCGTATATTTATTCAAAAACTTGTAGAATTTTACCTTATATCTATCCATATACCCTAAACCTATCTGTAGCAGCATTTGAATACGTTTTTTTTTCCATTATAGGAGGACCTTTTTTCTAAGATTTTTTAAGTTGTAGAATAGCGACGAACAAAAAAGTTATGAACAAGTTTCTAGTCTAAAAAGAGGCATTCCCATTAATGTTCTCACACGAATTTCATTCCTTTAAACGTCTTTATCGCAATCGATCAAATCGCGTACAGCGTTCCTTATTCAGTTAACAGGTCAGGGTCGAGCCCTTCATTGAAGGTATTTGCCCTTAGTCGCTTTTCCACGTGGACTGCAATTCTCTGCGCGGTGATTTCTCCGGTTAGACCTTACCTCTGGGGCAGAATCTGTTAGTAATTTATTCGTCAAATATCAGTTTGGAAAATTTGTATCGAACATATTTTTTATGCAGATATTTAAACTGGTAAGCTTGGAAAGCTTCATCGATTTAATCTTATAGCTTCGAAACAATCTTACGGTAATTTCTAGTTTATCATCGGTATAGGGGGTCCGTTCCCTTCGTAAATAATGGGGGTTATGGGTGAGGCTAACGACCAGTTAATCTTAAACCGATAAGAACTAAAAGGCTTCTGCACAAAGTTACGCCAAGCTGGAATATCGTGTAATGAGTTGAGAGGCTCTTTCATCGATCTAGTTTTTATTTTTCTTTAGCCTCCAAAGGATATTTAAACCAAATCTTATAGGAAAAGCCTTTAGTATCAACAGCACCGTACTGTATCCTCTAGGACAATAAATTGGCCAATAGAACTGTTTCTATTTAAATTAATATATTTTTCATCCTTCATATATCTTTAATGTAACTAAATCTGCCCCCAGCATTAACCAAAATGGTCGCAGAGGGACGGAAACATGTCCTGTGTATTTATCTGCATTTGTAAAAATTTTTCTACAATTTCAGGCAATTTATCAAATTGATGTATTCGTACTACTTGCCTGCAACCTTTCCCATTTGAATATTTAAAGAAAAAGTGGCAACTTTCAAAATTTTCTCGGCGGCATGCAACATATTTCTATATTTTAAATTAAAATTTTAAATAAATATTAACATATTTTCTGTACAGTGGCAATAAGTTTCGTTTATCGGTTTTTTCCTTTTATTATCGGGTATTTTAATCAAAAGCTTTACTCCTGATTCATCTATCTATATCATTCAATTTAATTGATACCATTCATCACGTCAACATGCACCGGCAACACCCAATATTAAGGCAACCCAAAACGAAAAACTAATATCTAGATATTTTAAAATTTTCACATCTAAACGTTTCAAGTTGTTTATTTGGCAAAACCTGACAGCGAAGAAAAATGTAGCTTTTTGTAACTATTTGTACGGATGGTTTTTGTCAAAACAACAAAAATACAAGATATTTCTTTTTACTATATTAGATATATAAACAAAACCAACAGAATTCCGCCCTTAGGGAAGTAATGCCTCTCGTAATGGAAAAAAACTGGCAAGTGTAAACCCGAGTTATGATAATGGATTGTTAGAAGGGAGAGAAATGTCCCGTGGCAAGCAGAGACAGGCCGTTTGCGACTAGCAGGCTCTATTTGTGTTCAAATATTTTTCAAGTGTCGGATTCGCCATGACGTCTCGTATTTATTGTCCTCGAGTTCTTCAAGCGCGGATATTTTCGCGATATTTTAAGCTTAAAGTAGCCTTACACGTTAACGCATAAGGGGCTGTTGGGAATAAAATGATTTCCATGTTTTTCTCAAAATACAGTTGATATTTATTCAAGTACAAATTTGGACATTTCTGTCATTGCCGATTTAAAGATAATAATTAAGAAAAACCTTTTTCAAAGTAACTTGAACACTCTGTGTCTCTAATGAAAAAAACATTATATGAACTGTCCCAACTATTTTCTCAAAAGGAGCGCACACTCTAGTTTTTTTAAATGATATAAATGGGGACACTACACAGGGTACTGCTATTACTTCAGCATGGAGATAGAGCAAAAATGAGCAAAAAAGTTGTTTATTACAGGGGCGTAAGATTAACAGTTTTCAAAATACAGCGAGTATTAATATTGGGGAGTTTCATCACAACGTGACAACAGTGCTTAACCGAACGCTACACACGACGTGTGCATGCGACAGACTTGTCCTATGGAAAAAATGTAAACAACTATTATTGTGAAGCATTTAGTAAATTTTTTCCAGTTTTTAAATAAATAAAATAAAATGTATCGAATTTGTAGTACGAAGATAGTGTTGTGCTTAAATTTTAGCTCGAATTTTAGTAATTATGAATCTCTTAAAAGAGGAACTTAACTTTTAATCAAATTATGGATTTGAAAAATATGCAATTAAAGTACCCAAAGATCCACGTCATCCAAATAATCATACGTATTAAAAATAATTTAGGTACTACTTACCAAAAAGCAAAATTCAGTAATTTTTGAACGCACAAGTATAAAACAAAACTACAACATATGCTCAAAATGTCCACCATCATTTTCTGTGCACGCACGGCACCTTCGAATCCAAATATTCGCGCATTCGCTGGAAAACATCTCAAAAAAAGGAAATAGTGGAACGCAAAAAACACCGATACGGTCGAATTCCAGATACCAACTGAATTGTGTATAGGTAATTTTTTTCTCGGAAATGGTTGAGTTTAGGACCCATGTCATATAAGATTCTTTTGTTTATTTTAATATATTCTATCGTCTGTTAAAATTAAGGCAGTTGACCTTCTAACACCCTGTATATAAAGTTAATATAACTGGCATACTTATTTTGTGTAAGAATACCGTTAAAAATTTCAGTGCTTTTCGTTCTTAAATGAAAATAATGAACAATCTTTTAGCTTTAGTCAAATGAATTTGGTCAAATATCAGATTAGTTGGGAAGATTTTTTTTTCGAAAAGTGCCACTCATTCTTTATTAAAGT